TGAAAGTAGGATACATGATAAATTAATCCTCGGCAGGATGAAAGGCACTGACGCAGCATCAACCTAGTCTTTAAAAAGACTAAATTATATGAGGAGATCTGTCTGGTAAAAAAATGAAATTCTTTAAAGAACTATGTAAAGTATTGCGCCTTTAGAGTATTGAGACAGGATCTGTAGCAAATAGCTTGTTCCCCTCAAACAAATATTGATGATAAATAGGCGGCATGAAGGATCCCTACAAAGGTACCAACAAAATTAGGTTAAAAAGAGAACATACACTTTAGTCGAGTATAATTATTTTTTAACTTTAATTAAAGGTTTGATGACAAAGATGGCATAAGGTTTAGTATAGTTGCAGTCTCCTTTCCTTTTAGAGAAACGCTTTGATCTCGCTTTCGCAACTTCATCGTGTTGTAAGGGAAGTCTCGACGAACTCACCTAGTCCGAAATCCATAGTATCCATAATAATTTCAAGCGCCAGATCGTAAACTTTCTAAGACGTTTCGACGGCATCGTCAGAAATCTTGTCAGTATTAACTCCACACTACAACTCGTCAAAGAGAAAAATAAAGTCAATTCCATGACCTACTGCAGTCATAATATACGCTCTACCCCAAGTGCTATTTATTATGGCATGCCCCAAGCCTTTGATACTACGTGTAATGTGGCCTCGCTGAGTGCCCAAGTTCTGATTCTTCTGCTTGCAGATCGCAGATATTGTCTTCGTGGCTCAGCTCCGTGATTAAATCCGTGGAGACTGATTAAATTGTGAAAGTCTATCTGTGATGTCCTGCTGCCTCTCGAGTGGATTTCTAGTACATTTTGCTCCGATCTATTAGCCATACTGGCACATTCCTAAGACATTTGCGATTATCCGTCGCCCGATTCCAGTGATCATCAGGCCCTATATGGATAAGCTATGCAAAGTAAAAAAGTCTTCACTTGGTTTCCGGTGCGGAGTCTGCAAACATAAATACAATAGTGAAACAAGGAGAAATATCATCATAGGAATCAATAAATATCAAAGGCTCTGCAGAAAACTGGACACCAAGGGATAGAAAAACATAGAAGAGACTGGACTCGAGATCGATTGGAAGGCAAAGGGAAGAAGTGACTAGTATGGTGAATGCCCAAGAAAACGAAAGTTGAAGAAAACCATCGAAATTCTTGCAGAAAGAGGTTCAATGAACAAGAGGTCAAAATAATGCAGAGTTAGAGGTAACTTTGCCTACTGACTAAGCAAACTCCGCGAAAACAAGGATACAACAGTATAAGCAAAAAGGTTTCAGGATCAATGAAATGTCGTTGGACAGAGGAAAATGGGTCGCAAGGAAGAAGCGGATAAGGAAAATTCGGAAACTAAAATAAGACGTTTTGATAGGTGTAGTCTGCTCAAATAAACAACAACTTTCACAGGAATAGGAAGATGTATAATCATAAATCTCACAGGAATTTGTAAGTATGGCAAGTAGATAAGAGGCAAACTGAATAGAAATCCACTCGAGAGGCAGCAGTAGAGAAAAGACAGCCTTTCAATTTACTCAGAGTACGTGGGTTGAAGCATAGAGATGGACCCTGGAAACAATGCCTGCAATCTTCAAACATTTGAATCAAAAGTGGGTTGACCTTTTTGTCGCAACTTGGTCTTGTTGTCAAGGTGACTTAGTAGAACGTACCTAGTCCGAAGTCGTCTGCCATAGTAGTTGTCATAATTTCCAGCATCAGACAGTGGACTTGGTACATTCTCAACCGTTTGGCTTGCATCACAGTCGGCAGTATCCGTGAGTGCTGCCATTCTTCGCACTAAGCTACGAACTCGTCAGAGAGAAGTGAAGTCAATTCCTCGACAAACGTTTTTGGCAGAACATTTGTCGAAGGATTGACTTCACTTGTCTCTTTGACGAGTTCGTAGCTTGGTGTGGAGAATGGCAGCACTCACTGACGATGCAGGCGAAACGCTTGAGATTGTACCAAGTCTCTGTCTGATGCTGAGAATTATGACAACTAATATGGCAGACGACTTCGGATTAGGTGATTTCTACTAAGTCCCTCTAATAGCAAGACTAAGTTGCGACAAATAGGTCAACCCACTCCTATAAATCGAAAGGAGAATGCGACCATACCAAAGGCCACACTATCTTGGTCATCATATGGGAATCAAGGTTTAGGCGTCTTGCTCGGTGAAGCCACAGTATACGAGCCAACAAAGGCTTGTAACCGACATCAATAAATAGCGGTTGTAGTAAAACGCGTACTGTGATTGGACCCGAGTGAAATCAGTTGGCTATAAAGATAAGAAACGAATTAATCGTTCCATGAGGGATATTCGGATAAGATATCCGAGTAGGACCAGTAAATCGCGAAGTAGGATGGCAAAGTAAATATCAGGTTTGATGACGCAACACTAAACTTGTCAAAAAAAGACACTCCCCTAAGGTAGTCAAATGTAAGCAAGTCATAAGTTGTGATATGGTGGGAGTGAGATAAGAGCGCATGAAGTGGGTAGATGTGCCATGACAAAAAATGAGAAAACACAAGAGTTGGGCAAAAAGTTAAGGGATGAACTTAACTTGTCTCTGAGGTGTTGTAGCTTGGCATCGAAAATCAATGACGATGGTGACCAAGGTATGACTGTGAATGTATTTAGTCTACGGTCAAACTCTGGTAAAATCATAAATACTATAGCAGAGGATATCAGCGAAAATGTGTGCAACTAGGTCTCCCTTAAAATACGAATAAGTTGCAAAACAAGGTTATATCATATATATATTACAACTGTGATAAGTTGCAACTATGTGCTAACGATGGAACCTCTCATTGACGATGCCAGCGAAACGTTTTTGAATGTACCAAGTAAATCGTCCGATGCTGGAAATCACGAATGTTATGGAAGAAGATAAAGGACTAGGTACGTTTCATAAGGTCTCTCTGACGCTACGATCAAGTAGCGAAAATGAGATAGAACCAGCACTATAAAGCTAAAGAAGATCGCGACTAAACAGAAGACCACACCATCTTGGTCTTCATATCAACGATCTAAAAGCTAACGAATATTTGTACAGCAAGGTAATTGCATCAAAAAGGCGATAACCTTTATATTGTAGTCATAACAAACAAGCATTTGCTTTCTATTATTGGGCCAGTAGACATAAGCCAAAGATATTTATCTAAATATAAAAAAATCAAACTGGATTGAATAAAGAATATAAAGCAATCTACTTCGGTCTGATATAAATCTTGATACTGAATCGCAACCACATTCCCAAACAAAATAACTCGTTAAAACGCGTAAATATAACTCATTATAAGCCTTGCATGTCGCAATAATATAAAGTACAAATCATTAATGCTGCTTTTGATTTCTAGTATGTCCTATCTCTGCCTCGTGGTAGCTCGTTGTGGTAACGCTTGATAATGGATGATAAGTTTGATTAAGATCAGCAATAAGACAACATTTAAATTTTGAAACAGAATTTAGAATAAAAGACAATATAAGAGGATAATTATGTGAGGTTAGCATAAGGGAAAATCCAGTAAATGTGTCAATCAAAACAAATTAGGATGATGCACACACAAACTGGTTTTAACAGAATAATTTCAAGATTAAAGACCGCAATTTTATTTTAGAATAAATGTAAAAGGAAAAGATCTATAAGGATTGAAACTTTCTTGTTGATTACTCCAAAAAATAAAGTAAATTGTTTTTGTTCTAAATAGACATTTAGAATATATAGAGAAAGTGTTAAAAAACAAGGAAATCGAAAGCGACCCAACATACCTTTCTGTTAGAGCAAAATTTACGTGAGTTTAAGTAGATTTTAACAAGCAAGTGAGAAAGTCTAGTTTAATGAGATATATTCACCCTATTTCGTCTAAAGTGATGAAGGACTGGTAGTAGAATTTTCCCACAATGATAT